AGAAGAGGATTTAACTGAGAATAAAGAGAAATTTATCTTGCCTTATAAACAGTCTACTTTTGGCTTTGAGGACCAGGAAAACAAAGACTGAGTTTTGAACTTTTGAAGCAATGAGGACTTATGGATAAGAGAAACAGAGGGCCAATGCAGAGGCCAAGGTGGTTTTCATTGAATCAAAGGACACTACAAGCAACAAAAAGAGACTTATCAGCTGGAAGGGAAGCTCTGCTATGGAAACCTGCCTGGCATAAGAGGAAGGCTAGAATAAGATTGAAAAATGAAATTTAAAATTTCATGCATTGGACTAAAGGCAATCTAGAACTATGGGACTGATTTAAGGATTAAGATTATGAGTTAGAAGTAAAGAGATGTTTTAAACTTGGATTGAATTAATAATTAATTGAATGTTAATCAAATAACATTCTTGTTTCATAATATGAATGTTATTAACTATGATAACTAATTGGATAAAATTTGTATTCTGCTTAATGGATTGACATGAATTAAGGTTTGATACTATTCTGTCAGCTTAAACAGATTGATTAATTGATGGATTAGATTTGTATAGGATAGATAGATATGTACATTTAGATATATATAGGATCAATATTTTTGCTTAAAAATGAGATATTTTCTATATAATGGACTAAAGGTAATCTAGAATATTAAGAATATATATTTTTAGAATGATACATTTATTTGTATGAAAATTATTATGTAATGGAATGAAGAAAATTGAAGAGATGTTTTAGATTTGGACTGAAATTAATTAATCAAGTTAATTTAATAAGATGATGTGTGTTTATTTGATGACATGGATAGTTATGATAATTAATTGGATGAAATTTGAATTCTGTCTAATGGATTGAAATAATTTAAGGTTTGATATTATTCTGTCAGCTTAAAGAGATTGATTAATTGATGGATTATATAGGTATAGGATAGATTAATATTTTATTTTTAAATAGGGGAGATTAGTGAAAGAATAAATAAAATTCATGATAAAATTAAGGAACTAGAATATATGTGGAAGGGATACCTGAATTGATAAGGTTTTTATTTAAAGTTAACTTGATTACAGTATTCTAAATTTATAAAGCTTTAAAACAGATTCAGGCGGAATAAATTTAAGCTATAACTGGATATTTTAAATATACTCTGCTACTTGAAGGAAAAAGAGAGGGAATACCTGATGTATTGATTGTACTATGTATATATGTTTTGTTCTAGGTCAGTGGTTCTCAACCTTTCTAATGCCGTGACCCCATAATACAGTTCCCCATGTTGTGGTGACCCCAAGTGGGTGTGGCCACCAATAAGAGGGAGTAAGACAGCTAGGGAAAAGGGAAAAAAATGGCGGACAGCGTGGTTTGGCGACCCCCGTGAAATGGTCATTCGACCCCAAATGGGGTCTCGACCCACAGGTTGAGAACCACTGTTCTAGGTTGTTTGATTACCCCAGCACCAGAGTGTGTCCTGAGTACTTTGTTTTAAGAATTAAAAAAACCAATAAAATGTGTTTCAAAAAAAAAAGTTAGACCAAAAAAAAAAGTTTTATCTATATTTCTATTCTCAGCAGTAAGAAACTATTTAAAAGTAAATTATTGGAGCCAACTACTAAGCTTTCTTTTGGGTAAATAAAGTGAAAAGGTGTGCATGTACACATGCTTCTATGTATACAGCACTTTTGAATAAAAGGGGATAAAAGACTACAGATTTTCTTATAAATACGATATAAGAAATAGATTTTTCCTTGCTTTTTCATCCTTCCTGTTAAAGCCATTGACACTGTATTTTGGAAAGCAACCCCAGCCCCAGGAAACTCCCTCCCTCCTGTACACTCATATTCCAAGTCCTAATTTGGACGAGATGAGCTAGCAATAAAGGCACTGCTGTTCCTCATGGCATAGTTCTTGCCTCCACCAGCTGATCTGATGACGGCAGTTGGTAATCTACAATAGGAGACCATCGACTGTCTGTGCCAGTTAAGTACAACCAGTTCTGATCTTTCTCTGCAGAGGCTCCGTCTGACTAAGAGTAGCAAATTCAGGTTGGCTTCTGTGCCACTAAAACAATTGCTTCTCTTGCTATAAATTGGCAACAATGAAATCTGTACCTATAACAAGTCTGTTTTCTCTCTAAGTAATAGTTAATTATTCTTATACTTGAAACTGAGGATTGTTTTGCATTTTATGTGGATCAGTTGTGGATGATAAATTATTGTTCATGGTACAGCATGAAGTAAACCAAAGATTTATTCAAATCATAGCTAAGTAATTAATAATTAATACAAATAATAAAGTAGACTGGACTTTAATGTGATGCACGAAGGAGATCAATGCTTTGCTCTGTTCCAGGTCAATTGAGCAAGAATATTTGAAAAATTCAATGATGTGTATTTAATATCTCTTAATTATTTATATAATCTAATCCCTGTTCCAGTTTTTTAGATTGTTTTATTTTGAATCAGGTTCAATTGTCTATTTCACTACTGTGCCAATAATTACACTGTACTTTCACTTTCACACAGTGATGGGTCTTAGTATGGGTGAATTTTTTATACGTGTCTTAGCGTACATATAAGCATATTAATCAACTCTGTTACACAGTAGCACAAAATGGCTAAGCACATAGTGCCTACTGAGACAATACTTTTCTGGTACTACATATGCCCAATTAAGTTCCAACCATCACAATCACCCAGTTACCATTGACAAAAACAACTGCAGCAGCATGTCACTCAGAATATTTACTATTGGAAGCCAGTCTCCCTTCTCAAGGAAGACACTTTGTAGATTCTATGTAGCACTAAATTCATAGAAACAATTTTGTGGTGGTAAAGATTGAGGGGAGTGTTTTTTTGCTAGATTCTACCATTGTTAAGCAGCAATGACTCCACTAAGAGATCAAACTAAAACATTAGAAAATCTCAACTATGCTATCTGCAGGGAACAACTAAGCAGGGTAAAGAAATCTGGTACAACTTTCTCAAGTGTAGGAACAACATATCCAGGCCGAAGCAGAGAATATAGATAGCCAAGGGGAGCATTATAGCCCAACAGAGCACAAAGAGCCCCCCTCCTGCAATTTAGGTGGGCTACTGTGGAAGACATGGGGATTGCAAAGTGCAGCTCCATGAAGAGTTACCAGTACCATTACGTGTAAACAGTAGGCAGTAGAAAATAAGCTATATAGACTGATAGAATCTGGTGATAGCTTGTGAGTTATTTACTATACCTTACTATATCTGCAATGCTTTCCATATATTAGGCAGTCAGGGTGAAAGACAAAGCTACACTTAAGATCTGATATGAAGCAGACAAAATAGATCCATCTCTATTGTTTAAGTCAGTGAAGGGAACATGATCTAAACAGGGTGCCTTTCTGACAGCTGTTGTGGACTATTGAGCGAGAGTGGCAAAGACCATCACTATTAACCAGATCTGATTGCCATGGCTGGGTGTTGTTTGTCTGTATTTATATAGGGCTATAGGGGAAATAACAAGATTGTGCTGGATACTGCAGCATCATGTTCAGACACAAGGCAGCCTTTTGACCACTAGTATGTATAGTTAGTATGTTAGGATTCTTCAGATGAAAATTGCCAGATACGTGATATGAATAGAACAATTAAAAATTGCTTTTGTTCACTGGAATTAAGTATCAAGGGAGACAAACATACATTATTTAAAATAGCCTCAGTTAATGCTAGGCTGGAAAATATTTGTGGGTTGATTTGGCTCTCCTGTATTTTTTAAAAAGTCTTTCGGGTAGACAAGGTCAAGAATCAGAAGCAGGAAAAATTCCAAGAATATTTTTGTTATAGAATAGGATAAAAACATCTTGAAAGCCCGTCAAGAGTTTCTCTCTGCCCCATTTTATATCATATAAAACCAAAGCGGGATTGATTTGAAAGTAAGCATTGCGCTACAAAGCAAAGCTTTCACTTTAAGGTGCTTCTGAACAGAGAAACCAGATGGCATTTCTGCTAGCCAACGGTCATGGCTGGTCAGAGAGCCTGTTTTGGTGGGTGTCAAATGCACCTGTGAAATTTTGAGCCTTTGAGTCCAGCCTCTGAATTTCTTAAGCACTTTTTAAACTTTTGCTCCAATTTATTGGAGGACCATGTACCCCTTTCGGAAGCAGATTCACTCAACTGACCAATCAATGGCTTGCCTCCAGAAGTTGTGGGTGCTGCATCACTGGAGGTTTTCAAGATGAGATTGGACAACCATTTGTCCAGAATGATATAGGGTCTACTTCTTGAGCAGTGGGTTGGACTACATGACCTCCAAGTCCTTTCCAACTCTGCTATCTGTATTCAGAGTTTCTTTCTCACACTTTTTATTTTCTCATGACAACCATATATTCTCCTTTAACATTTCAATGTTCTCTTCTTCCTTCCCAAGATGAAATCTACATTCTTTCACATTACTTCGCTTTTAACATTACATTAAGGTTAAATCACCATTTGATCTTATAAAGTAAAAATTTAAGCAACATAACAGAATTTTGGGGAAGTACATCACAGGTTAGAGATGACAGGGAGCACTTAATGCAGGATTCCTTAATTACATACAATGGAATCCTATTACCTTAAAAATGATACAATTCCAAGTGGTATTTTTATTTTTTTATTATTTAAATTCTAAAAGGATCTCTGGTTAATGCATTTTTGGAAATATTGATTTTGAGTTAATTTAGATTGGCTTCAATATAATCTGAAATTTCAGTTTCCAGAATCTGTATTGTTTGAGTCCAAAACAAAGATTATATAGTTTGAAGCATATACAATTTGCTTTTCGCTACTGTATCAGAATCAATTAAGAAAATGAAAGCTAAATCTGCTTTATTTTTAGATGAGAAAATGATCTACACACTCTTCTTAGTCAATCTTTTTCCTGGAACTTGGAAAGGATGAGGTTGCATGCAAAATGATACTTCTTGTCTACATCACAAGGCTGACTGCAGAAAAGAGGAAAAAAAGGCAGAAACTTCCATCACTTTATCATTTTCTACTTTATTACTTCAAATTAACAACCACAATAAAGCTCAAAAAAGTCCAATATTTACACAGGAAAAAAGTACAAAATTCCCACCCCCCAAAGTTCAATTTTTTGTTTTTTTTTGTTTTTGTTTTAAAATTACAAAGTAATAAAAAGGTTTTTTTTACTTAATTAAAAAAAAGGAGAGAGAGACACAGTAAGCAGGGTAAATAAATTAGGGGGAAAACCTGTGTTAAATAGAAGAATTAAAAAAAAGAAAACCAAAAACGTCAAGGCCGATCCACTTCCAAACATTCCAGACTGCCCCACGTTAAAAAAAAAAAAAAAAATCCAAGCTAACGGCTGGAGGACAGGTGATGATGGTTGTGATGCAGAACTAAAGACAGATCGTTTTCTTGAATAAAACCTAAAAATTTAAAAACAATGAGACAAAAAGGTAGAAGAAATCTTCTTACTGAGGAGGGAAAATGTATTTGTCCTTCTAAAATTGATGGTACAAGGAGTAACCTCTGCAATCACATGGCTTCTCCTCCCGCCCCCATCATTCACATACCCCTCCCTTTTCCTCAGCTCCATCCCGACTCCTGCAGGAAAAAACAAAAACAAAATAAAAATAATAAAACTAAACACATGCAAACCGGCTGTGTGTGTGTGTGTGTGTGTGTGTGTGTGTGTGTGTGTGTGAGAGAGAGAGAGAGAGACTGCCATCCCTTGCACTAGAAGCAGCGTACATTTCTACACCCTTCACATTTGTTGCTGCCTTGCACAGCAGCTATCGCTACCCACATCCACACCCTTAACACACAACTGCTGCCGTGCCAGTCCTGTTCACCTTATTGGTATGCCTACAGCATCCCACACGAATGCACACACAGGGGCAGTGGTATCCCAAACAGAGAATGCCTGAATACAAATAACAGCCTTCGTCCACTGAATCTCCCCTGGAGGCAGTGCCAGCTTACCACTGCAGCCAAATTTGAAATGAATGTTAAACCACCTCCTGAAGCAACTTGGAGCTGGAATTTTTAGTTTCCTGTAAACAACCTTCTCCCCACCCAAGAACTACAGAACAAAGATGTGATTAAAATTATGTTGGAAACCTTCTTTTCTTAACTAACTGGACTTTCAAAACAATATTGAATAAGGCTTCTCTTTCTGTGAATTACATATAGATCGAAAAGGGGAGCAGAAAGATCTGGATGATGGCCACGGCCTGCTGGCGGGAGACGGGCAAGGACTATGGAGAGGAAGCTGCACAACAGCAGCAAAGGTGTTCTTGCAAGGCTCCTGTATGAGTGACTCATCAAAGGCAATTTGGTTCGGGAACACAGCCGATGATCTCAGGAAAGACAAGAATGCCAGCACAGGGCAGCTCCTCTCCTTGTTGCTGGCAAAAAAAAAAAGGTTGGCTTTTTTTGTTTGTTTTTTCCTTTTAATTTGTTTTTGTTGTTTTGTTTTTTAAAAGAAAAATACAGTGAAGACACTAGAAAAGAAAAAGAAAAAAACAGAGTTAAAAATGGTTTCTTCTCAGAAATTCAAACACTGGAGGTCTTCTGATAAACTAGCTTAGCCCTAAATAAGTTACCACATTTTATGAAGGAATCCCCATGCCTATCAATCTTTGGAACTTTAAGGGCTAGAAACTCTATTGAAGAAGAAAATCACACAGGAAAAAGAATCTCATATCTGTAAACCAAACATCAGAATTTATGCAATACTGTTTTATTTGCAAGGTGTGCAAAATTATCTCTGGAGCTTTTCATGTTTGATTATTTTGCTTTTAAGAAATATTCTACTAGTTCACAGTGGATATTTTTAAGAACCAAACTGAAACCACGGAGAGATAAGAGAAACACAAAATTGTCTTAAGTACTGTATTTATTTTATGTATACTAGCTGTGCTTCCAGCTCCCATGATTTCAAGCACAGATCTAGATCTGCTTTTTAAAGAAAAGAACATTTAATTCTAATGAACTGGCAGGCAATTAAAACAATAGCAATTCTCCTTAGTCCATGGTATTTTTTTCCTCAACCTCAGCAACTTTAAGATGCATGAACTTCTCCTAGCGGCTAGCCTGGGAATTCTGGGAATTGAAGTCCACATATATTAATGATGCCGAAGTTGGGAAAAACTGACCTATGGTCATCATGCCCTCCCCTCCACACTCCAAGACAAACATTCACTATCATATAAATTCTTACAAACAGAAGAAATATTTTATTCTATTGAATCTATACCTGATTTTCTTTCAGGAACTTGAAGTAATAATGTATTTTTTTCCCCCAATGACCAACCTAGTATTATAATTAGCCATAATCAAATGGAGATGTGAAACTAATAACCCTATCCCTAGTCCAACACCATAAATGCTGCACTACACATCTTTAAGAAATGTTACATAATAATTCTTGAGATTCAGCCTTTCAAGAATGTCTCTGGTGAAACAATGCCAATACCCTGCTACTCAGGACTGAAAGCTGCTGCTCCTAGCTCTCACACTGCCAGTGGGGAATCAACACTTCTGTGAAATCTTGTATGACTACACTTGCACAATTCCATAGTAATAAATTACCATGTCACACTGTCTAATGTACACTAATTGAACGAACTGGCTGTATTATTATTAGGTAAGTGTAGAACATTATGTCCCTTATTGCAAGGACAGAAAAAAAAAAAGTCAGGTTTTCTTGTCATGGGATTGGGTCATTTGGGCCTTTCAACACCCTGACTATCCCATTTCCATTTCCATTACACTGAGATTTAAGCAGAAAATATGTGGATCCTGCATGAGCCACTTTTTGCTTGATCACAGAACAGGCTGCCAAGGCAGACACTCACCTAAGCAAACACTGGTCTGGTGGAATCCACTCTTCATTTCCCCAGGTGATCAAATGGCACACTGGTCTGCAAATAAACAAAGAACTGAATAGGCTGCAGAAGAGGACCGTAGGAAAGGTACAGAGGGAGTGCCCTAGTTTCTTTCTCTCCTTTCTGAAGAGGTGATCCCATCACATTCCCTCTCCTGAAATGTATCCCTCTGTCTATGGAGATTCTCAGTCATCCAGGTCACGGTTGTCCCAAAGATGCTTTTCCACGAGGTAACTGGATTTTCTTGAGGGTTTTTTTTGAAGACGTTTTGCTTCTCATCCAAGAAGCTTCTTCAGCTCTTCCCCACCATGCGGCCAGAGCTGAAGACGCTTCTTGGATGAGAAGCAAAATGTCTTCAAAGAAAAACAAGAAAGTCTAGTTGCCTCCTGAAAAAGCACCTTTGGGGTATGTCCTCATCCTGAGAAAGATTTTCATCAGTGTATTAAGTGGATAACTTAGGGTGAATGCATTTTTAAAATGATATTACCAAGATGATTTTGATATTCTTGAATCTACTGGAAAATTAATTTTCGTACTTAGGTGACAAGTATGATAAAAGCAAATCCACACAAAAATAGATTATGACGCCGATTCAGGCAGTCCTCGAGTTACCGTATATGCCGGCGTATAAGGCAACTTCCGCAAGCATTAAAATCAGCGCCAAAGACGGGTGTCGTCTTATACGCCGAGTCGTCTTATACGCCGGAAATACTGGTAGTTTCCGGCGTATAAGACGACGTTCTAGGAATGCGACTTGGCGCCAAAGACAGGGGTCGTCTTATACGCCGGGTCGCCTTATACGCCGGCATATACGGTACAAAGGCAATTGGAACCAGAATTTCTGCTGCTGAGCAACGCAGTCACAAAGCGCAACATCATGGGGCTGTAGGTCGATGAAGATTCTCAGATATCCAGGTAGAGTTGTTTGCAAGTTGAGTCATGGCAACTGGACTTCTTTCCTTGTTGGTTCAAAACATTTCACTGCTTATCCAAGTACCTTCTTCAGTCTGAACAAGTTGGTTAGAAGGATCCCATATATGTTCTCCAGGGAGATTTCATTTCTCATCTAATCTGCATAGGCTCGTTAGGTGAGTAGGCAGAGAGTTATTGAGATGTAAATGTTCCAACTGCTATATCCTCTACCCTAACTGGGTCATTAAGAGTAGCCTCCCTGGTGAGCCTGTGAAGTGGTCTCAATCTTCCTGGGGAATGATGAAAAAGCAGCATAAGAAAGAGTGGAGAACAGTTTGTGTCTGTGGCCTCCATCTCTACTGAGGGAAGGATTTTCCACACTGGCATAAATGGATTCCTTCACTCCTCTCTCAAACCATCTATCTTCCCTATCCAAAATGTGAACATTATTGTCCTCAAATAGTTCATTTTTCTTCTGAAGGTGTACTGCCAATTCTGGTCCTGTGCTGTTTCTTTCCCTATGCTGGCTTGGTTTCTCTAATGTAGAATTTTGAACAGTCCACTGTGTTGGACTGCATACACAGCATTACTCTTATCTTTTGGTGTCCACTCTTTAGGGTGGACAAGCCTCTCTCTTAGTGTGTTGGGGGGGGGGTTTGAAGAACACAGGTATGTGGTGTTTTCCAAATATCTGTTTTAGCTTCTCCCATACACCAGCGGTGTAAGGAATGACCAAGTTCTTCTGTTGACTTTGAGTCTCAGCTTTGTCTGCCATTCTTTTGTTGGATCCAGATGTTGACTCAATAAAAGCCCAATCTAGATACAGGCAGGCCTTAAGAATTGCCAGATGCCTGTTTTTCTCCTTTTGGGCAACCCTGGTGGTAGAGATTTTTTTCTGTCCTATGATGTAGTGTCCTGATGACTCCTAGTTTGTGTTGAAGTGGATGGTGGGAGTCAAACAGCAGGTATTGGTCTCTGTGTATTGCTTTCCTGCAGATCTCTATTTCTAGGTTGCCAATGGTCCCAGTCAGAACCTCAGTCTAGGAATGCCAGCCTGTTGTCCTTGGTATCTTACCAAGTATTGGTATCACTTGATTTTTGAATCCACAGTGTTCATATGGTCTGTGAAGGCTTATACTTCCTGGATTGCTTTGTTAGGGAAATCTCTAAAGTTCCTATTGAGCAAGCATCTCCTTGCAAGTTCTTGCCAGCTTCCAACAATCAAAGTCAGCAGGGAACATTGCAGGAAGTTGCAAGTTTCAGGTGACTTGCAAGCCTGCTGGCACATAGGGAAATGGCTGCTACTAGGTGGGAGAGTATGTGTGAGTGATGGGGGAAGCACAGAGTGTAACAAGTCTGCTGTGATGTCCAGAAATTGAAGGGCCCATCGTAACTACATTGTAAATTCAATGGGTCACTGAACAAGTGGCTATAAACCAAGGACTACCTTTAGATAGTTCTCAGAATCAAAGGAAAGTGAGGTACTACATATCAACAATATTTATCCTCTTTGCCTGATCAGTTCAATGGGCTAGGATGAGATCTACTTAAGCTTTTATTGCTGGTCTTATTTTGCCCTGATCTGATCATTTTTTTCAGAATTTTTTCCTTCAGTGAAACAGGATCATCAAAAGAAACTCACCTGTGACGCTGAAATCCGTGAGACTTCTTGCCGTCCTGTGAGGTCAGACGAGGAGATGTTGGCGGGGGCTCCTCGGTGTAACCTCATGCTGACCTTGCGTTCCCTGTCTACCCGTGAAATTGCTCTGGGAGATGTGTTTCCTGGCAAGAAGGGAGTAATTGCTATTATTTATAACACTGAAATTTTGCAGTTATATAAAGAAAACAAAGATGAGAGAAGAAAGAAGAAAGGAGGAAAAGAAAAAGGAAGAAAAAGTTAAAGGGTGGGAACATATGACATACTAAGGCTAATGTTCTATGGGCCCTAAGATAGTGGATTTGTTGGATTTGTACTCTGAAAGGAAAGAGAGCTCCTACTTCCAATACTGGAAAGGAAATGGACTTGTTCTTCAATAGATTCCATAATTAGGATTAATCTATTGAAGCTTTGAAACTGAAATAGATTTACTCTTTATTGGCTTTAATAAGAGATTCCTTTAATTTTTTTTTAGCCTTATTTTTCAGAGTGATAAATTTTCCAAAATAGAAGATAGGATCGAGCAGTCAGGATTTGAGATGAAAAGAAAGTACGAAAGTGGGCAATAGATCAGCATGGCGGGTTACACTTCTGCTAGCACTAAAGGCTTGCGTGTGATTTTCTGTTCACTCACCAGACTGCTGGATGCGGGAAGTGGGTGTGGAGGCCATGGGTTCAGCGACATTGCGGAGGCGGTTAGCAGTGGCCCCAGCAGGAGGGCCAGGAGGCAGCGCCCGCGTAGCAGAACCCCGGAGCTGCCCCATCCTTTCCTCTCGCTCATGTTCTCGCCTCTCCCGGTCCATATCCTCAGGATTCCGGGCTGCTCCCTGAAATATTTAATGCCCCACAATGCTTTAATAACTGCTGAGAAGTATAAATCACCTTACGCACATGCATGAACAACTACAACAGCTGCTGAGAAAACGGGTGAGAAGCAAAACTCCCTAATTTCTGCCTACTGAATCAGCGTCTATTTTGCACAGCTTTCCCAGGTTCCTCCACTTCTGAGTGGGACAAGAAGCATGTGTGTGTAAGCCCGTAGCCATCAAGCTCTTTGTTTACACATTCATCTTTTGCTTCACATCAGTATTTATCCTTTCAGTTCTGCTGTCCTAAGGGAAAGGAAATCTGGGCAAGCAATATTCCAACTGAAGATTCACTAAAATATCAGAATCCATTATTGTGTTGGTAAAACATAAAGGCACTTGGAGAACAGATGCACTTTTGAAACTTAACATCTTAAAATATAGAAAATGAAGCTTGTTTTACTGTAGTAACTATCTTAGAAATAAGTAAAATGTGGGCACTTCCCACTTTTCTGTCTTGCCACAGGACTTGTTGCTATGGGTCAATAAGAAAATACAGTGGGGCAAAAAAGTATTTAGTCAGCCACCAATTGTGCAAGTTCTCCCACTTAAAAGATGAGAGAGGCCTGTAATTGTCATCATAGGTAGACCTCAACTATGAGAGACAAAATGAGAAAATAAATCCAGACAATCACATTGTCTGATTTGGAAAGAATTTATTTGCAAATTATGGTGGAAAATAAGTATGTGGTCAATATCAAAAGTTCATCTCAATACTTAGTTATATATCCTTTCTTGGCAACGACAGAGGTCAAACGTTTTCTGTAAGTCTTCAGAAGGTTGGCACACACTGTTGCTGGTATGTTGGCCCACTCCTCCATGCAGATCTCCTCTAGAGCAGTGATGTTTTGGGACTGTCGCTGGGCAAATGGACTTTCAACTCCCTCCAAAGGTTTTCTATGGGGTTGAGATCTGGAGACTGGCTAGGCCACTCCAGGACCTTGAAATGCTTCTTACGAAGCCACTCCTTCGTTGCCCGGGCGGTGTGTTTGGGATTATTGTCATGCTGAAAGACCCAGCATGTTTCATCTTCAATGCCCTTGCTGATGGAAGGAGGTTTGCACTCAAAATCTCACGATACATGGCCCCATTCATTCTTTCCTGTACATGGATCAGTCGTCTTGGTCCCTTTGCAGAGAAACAGCCCCAAAGCATGATGTTGCCACCCCCATGCTTCACAGTAGGTATGGTGTTCTTTGGATGCAACTCAGCATTCTCTCTGCTCCAAACACGACGAGTTGTGTTTCTACCAAACAGTTCTATTTTGGTTTCATCTGCCCATATGACATTCTCCCAATCCTCTTCTGGATCATCCAAATGCTCTCTAGCAAACTTCAGACGGGCCCGGACATGTACTGGCTTAAGCAGGGGGATACGTCTGGCACTGCAGGATCTGAGTCCCTGGCAGCGTAGTGTGTTACTGATGGTTGCCTTTGTTATGCTGGTCCCAGCTCTCTGTAGGTCATTCATTAGGTCCCCCCATGTGGTTCTGGGATTTTTCCTCACCGTTCTTGTGATCATGTTGACCCCACGGGGTGAGATCTTTCGTGGAGCCCCAGATCGAGAGAGATTATCAGGGGTCTTGTATGTCTTCCATTTTCTAATTATTGCTCCCAGTTGATTTCTTCACACCAAGCTGCTTGCCTATTGCAGATTCAGTCTTCTCAGCCTGGTGCAGGTCTACAATTTTGTTTCTGGTGTCCTTCGACAGCTCTTTGGTCTTCACCATAGTGGAGTTTGGAGTGTGACTGTTTGAGGTTGTGAACAGGTGTCTTTTATACTGATAACATTCAAACAGGTGCCATTAATATAGGTAATGAGTGGAGGACAGAGGAGCCTCTTAAAGAAGAAGTTACAGGTGTGTGAGAGCCAAAAATCTTGCTTGTTTGTAGATGACCACATACTTATTTTCCACCATAATTTGCAAATAAATTCTTTCCAAATCAGACAATGTGATTGTCTGGATTTGTTTTCTCATTTTGTCTCCCAACTACAGACCTCTCTCATCTTTTTAAGTGGGAGAACTTGCACAATTGGTGGCTGACTAAATACTTTTTTGCCCCACTGTATACAGGACCTGGATCTGTCTTGGGCTGCCTTTAGCATTGTTATGCACTGAGGTCTTGATGCTACTTTTTAGGCAAGCACTAAAAAAGCCACTATAACCAGCACATTGAAAAACTTATTTCACAAAAAAATCTTCTCAATTTAGAACCCCATAAATACAGGATTTCATCCCAACCACCAACTACCTCCTGCTAGTTGTATATTACAGGAACCAAAGTCCAACACATTGGAGGGAACCAGGTTGAAAATAGTGGCAAATTTGCGCCACAGGGATGCAAAAACCTAATCCCACATTAAAGAGAGAAAGGCTTCATAGGCATCCTTAGCCTTTAGCCCCTCCCCATCTATCTGCAGCTCCCTGGTATGCAAATAATTCTACTATACCAACAAACCCCCTTTAAAAATTAGGGTTACTCACAAATTTGAGCATATTCCAGTCAAATACATAGTCATAGGAGAAACCCTGGCGGTGGAAGAGATTGCGGAACAGCTGCCTCAGATAAGAGTAATCTGGTTTGTCATCAAACCGCAGTGAACGGCAAAAGTTGAGGTATGTAGAGAACTCAGCTGGGGGAGAAATGAGAGACAGCAACAAGGAATAATTAGCAGGAACAATTTTACTCCTCTCTGGCGCTGTTATTCCACCACCCCCACCCCACCTATATATATAGTTTCATGCTATAGCTCCCAATAGCACTAGTCCAGTTGAGAGAGTAGTGAAAGCCTTCTGTCTGCAATGCACACATTAATCTTGAGAAGTGAAGTGGGTCATCCTAGTCATCTAGATAAAACAGGAGCCTCCAAACATTTGGAGACAGGGGAAAAATTTGGAATTCTGAAAGCCCACTATGAACGTTCCTCAAAATGACTGCCATGATGGATGTGGCCATTCACACAATAACCATTAATAGCCCTTAACAATAGCATTTAGACTTATACAGTGCTTCATAGTGCTTTACAGCCCCCTCTAAGTGGTTTACAGAGTCAGCATATTGTCCCCAACAATCTGGGTCCTCATTTTACCGACCTCCGAAGGATGGAAGGCTGAGTCAACCTTGAGCCGGTGAGAATCAAACTGCTGGCAGCGGGCACGATACTGCATTCTAACCAATGCGCCACCACTGCTCATATTAAAAGACAAACCAGGGAGACTTGCTCTCAATTACCCTTTCTAACCATCTCCAAATCATTTGCCTTTTTCATAAACAAGCAGATCCCAAACTGAGCTACAAATCCCTACAATTTTTTCTGTTAGAAAAAAATCTGGTATATATCAGTTTACATATATCAAGGGTTTCAGAAAAACCTCTGGTATATACACAGACTATTGAAATATTCTTGGAAATATTTGCAGTTCTCAATTGTGCCAGCTTTGTAACAAGATATCTTCCCATTTAACTTTTTTTAGTTACAAACATAGAAAAAATGGCAAGCAAACATCAAGACAGCAGCTACCCAATGGCACACTGAGGTTTGCAGACACCAGGCTAAAGGCCCAAAAGATGAAAATTCATCCTTGTTGATTTTTTTAAAATTAAAATTAAACTGGATATGTTGGAGACAGGATTAATCTATTCTAGCTATTAAAATCCTCTCTGGAGTTCCCCTTTGCCTCGTCACTAGAAGAGGGTTTAGCTATTTTGGCCATGGTTCTCTGGATCTTTTCCAAAACTGAACCTAATTCTGCACTCACCCTGCTCAAGTAAACATATTATTTATTCACCCTTATCCTTGGTACTATTTTCATCTTTTTCCTCCAGTTCACTTATGGAACCATCTAAATGTGCAGCTTTCCCTTCTAGATTCATACAAATTACATATAACCTGCATACCGCTTTCTAACAGCTATTAACCTCTATGGTTTTTACTCCAAAAATCTGAGACTCAGTGCAACCTTTCCTCACTCAAGGGTACCTCCATAATTATTTTTGAATTAAACTGCTATTAAATGGCTACTAAAGATAAGATTCACAGGAAAACTTGTAGTGCTGTCCAATATTTTGCAAACAGAATAAAGACCTTCCATTAAGTTGATAAGATAGGTGACAAAAAACTAGATTAGGATTGTAAAATTGGGCGTGCTTATGCCTATACCACTAAGAAGAACCTAGAACTTGAAAATAAGTTCAGGGAAATCTTACAAGGATAGCCTTTGCAGAGCACTTCAATGGGTGTTGACATCTTCTTTTCACTGATGCGCTCGTATTTCTGTCGTTTTGTGGCAGCTTTTAGGCCTTGCCAAGGCAATGAGCCAAGATTGAAGTACATCAGTACATAGCCCAAGCTCTCCAAATCATCACGGCGACTTTGTTCTGGAAAAAAACAGATGCAAATACAGGCATAGCTAGAGATGTTCCAGCAACAACTCAAAACAAAGGAAAATTATTCTCATCTTGCAACAGCTCAAAACAACACTAGGGAAAAGAGAAAAAGACAAACTGAAAGCTACATAATCTGCTATTTGGTCAAACCTGCCAGGAATCCAGGCATTTATTTATGCTTGCATTTAAAATGCATGTTAGGTGTTCATTTCTTCTTAAAAACTGAAAAACTGAAAGAAATTATGGGGAAGGCTCTGAAGTTGTACAATTTCATACAAGGGCAGAAAAGGCATAGATGCAGAAATATCCCTTAATAGCACAGTGTCCATAAAAAAACCCAGAAAAATAATTAAATCATTATAATTAAATATCAAAAATATATGTGCTACATCTAGCAAAACTCCTACAGTTTGATAATGTCAAGTGTTTGCTTCTCTACAACAGAAACTAAATTAATGATATAAACAAATGTTAAAAATCCAGAATTCTCTAACATTAAAAAATAGAACTTTGTATATATCATTTCAAAGAGCATAGGCTCTTTTAATTTCTTATTATACACCCTATTGTTGTACCCTAATGATTTCAGAGCCAGACTGCACAATACAAATATTTAAATTTGGTCCTATATTTTTACTTTCCATTTTAAATTCAGATTCTCTCCAATATCCAGGGAAATATCTTTAATCAAACTATTAAATGTTCTTTAAAACTATGAGATTGTTTTCATTAATGATCATATTCCCCCAATCTGCAAAAAATGGAGATTTGTACAAATGTATGATTTTTTTTAACCCACACTGTATGCTAAAAAAAAATCTACTTAATGAGACTTCAGAGCAGGATTCAAAATATATTTTATCCAGTTTTGTTCCTATCCTATGTTTTAAAGTCCACAACCCTAATAAGTTTTTAAATTAGTCAATCGAGGACACTGTAATAGTATCTTTGCATCAGTGCTGAATGAGGTACTAGGATATTCTAGTCCAGGATATACCCTCTGGGTAATGTTGGGTCAGTTATCCTCAGGCTCGTTTATCTTTTAAAAGTTGCTGCAAGGGCAAATTGGAATAGGGAGAAAGAACCAGCACATCATTCTAAACTCCCAGAAGAAGTTCCCGATATAAATGTTAGTCCTTGACTTATAATTAACCCCAAACTTTCCACTGCTAAGCAAGGCAGTTGTTAGGTGACTTTTGTCCCATTTTACAATCTTTTTGCCAGTTGTTAAGTGAATCCAACTTTCCCAATTGACTTTGCTTGTTGGAAACCGGATGATTACAAATGATGATCACATGACCCCAGGACAGTGCAACTGTCATAAATACATGCCAGCTGCCTAGCGCCCAAATTCTGATCACATTACCATGGGTATGCTGCAACGGTTGTAAGTCTGAAAAACAGTCATGTCACTTTTTTCAGTGCCGTTGTAATTTCGAATGATCACTAAAAGAATGGTTCTAAGTTAAGGACTACTTGTACATGTATTGCCCAAAGCCACTATTCTAATTTGACTCTACGATGACACAAGATGCTACAAAGCAATGGCACGGGCTATCTAGGAGGGATAGGCATTGCTTAAAAATGCTTCTAAGCACAAAGAGGCTCACACAAGGACCACTTTGCAATTCCTAAAATTAAACATGCCTTTTCCTAAGACTATCCCAAGAAAACACACAGCTGTATTAAGGAGTTGCAGACAAGTGGGATGTGAGCATCTTTGTGTGTTTAACTCTGAACTCCTATTTAACCTTAATATCAAATAGATCTCTCAAGCTATCTATTTTAGAAACAGAAAAGAGGGCCCAAACATTGTCTCATGCAAAATTCCAGAGGGAGAGCCATGTTTTATATTTTATTCCATATTTAATTGAATACCTTCCTGAATCCTACTTAACAAACAGAATAAAAATGTCACATCTATCAGATATGCTAAGACAAACAGTGTTTTTTTTTTTAGAACCAACTCTATCATATCTATATTAAGGTAGGATATTGGCAATCCATTTTAAGAGAAGGGGCACATCTGCATGTTTTTTCCACCCCCACCTTTGCCTGCTGATATATACATTTCTGAATGCAGTTTTATTTATTCATCCATCCCTCCATCCGTTCATTCTTTTGTTCATTCAATTTCTGTGATCACCCATCTCAGTCAATGATTCTGGAAGGCTTACAATTCAGAAAATATATTGTGCTTAAACATCTAAAAACAATAAAAACTGGAAAACCAGTAAGTAACATTAAAAACATTCAAAATTCAACATATATAAGAGAAGGATATTTGATCAAGAAATACAGAAGCAATATTGCCAGGAAATGGGGTTCTTGGCACATCCAGTGCCCCAGGCTGAGGAACGAAGTCAGGTTTTTAGGCCCTTGCAAAGGCTAACAGGGATCTCCAAAGGGAGGATGTTCCATAGAGCAGGGACCCCTATAGAAAAAGCCTGCCTTTTCCCCAAAGATAAAGTAGATTTGTTTAAAATGTTCCATGTATATGCATTTTAATGTACATTTTTCTTTTAATGTACATATCTTTGTATAAATCAAAATTCAGGAAAAACAAAGAGTTAAAGCATCACAGTTTTCACATCCATATGGAAAATCCAAATTAGTTAAGCGCACACTAATGGGGCAAAAGATTAACCTTTCTTTATTTGCCTGTCCCTTTGGACTTTGAAGTCTCTCCCCACCTCTAACATATATTTCAGGCAGATCTGCATTTTAAATTCTCTGCCATTATCTATTTGGCACTGCACTGTTACAAAAAGCAAGGTCCCTGTGGTATATTAAAAGAAACTAATGCATCAATTGCAGCACAATTCAGTCACAAGGTTATTTCAGTTTAATCAATGTATTTAACAATCTGTTGATTCTGCTCTGTGAAAACAATTTCATAGAGCACAGAGCAAAATTGCAGACTCCTTGTTTAAAAGGCAAAAAATAAAAATAAAAACCACAAGATTTCCTGAAGGATTTATGAATATTCACACAGCTTTGTCACAGCTTCATAACAAAATGGATACAAAGCCAACCAAGAACTCATTTTTCATTGCTTCCCTCAATGCTGGAAGCCATTTTACCGCATTAATAGGAATAAAACACAGGACTGCCATCCTTATCCTTTTAGTTTTCTCCTTCATACCTGCCATCTTCTTATGCTGTGAAAGCACCCAGCTCTTTGATATTTTTTTCTTGCCTTGGTCTGAATGTATGAGACAATGAAATCTGACACAAACAGATAGCTGTCTTCCAGCATAAGTTGCCATCAAAAGATTGGATGATGATTTATTTCCAAAGAACAGCAGTGAGCGAAGTATCTTATCTACAGTTTTTGCACCCACCTTTTGCCTCTGTTTTCCCTAGCTTAAATCAGGCTACAAAAAAAAGTAATTTGCATTTGAAGGTACGACTCTGCTGTGACACTTAGTTTTATTTCTGTGGCTATTATGCCCACTTTTTACTAGTTCAGGTAAATAAACCACATATTGCGCTTCCTACAAGCTCAATATTTTCTTGCCATGTAATGGATTCTAATCCTCAAGTTCTCCTTGTCTGTTGTTTTGACCGTGCCCCTGGACATCTTGTATTGACCCAACTGGCTCTTGGACATGATGTGTGTGTGTGTGTGTGTGTGTGTGTCTTCACTGCAGACTGGCAGAAGGAACAGCTCAGCTCTGGTCTTATCACTGTGGATCTCTTTGTCATGTATGTAAGCTATTGTTAATAACAATACAATGTACAAACATAAAGGGGACCATGCAAACATTTGCATGGCTACAACTAAGAGATTGAATCCACAACTGCTAAAACTGAGCCTTACTGCATTTTACATTTCTTTCTCTAGCTCTCACATTCAATGTGTATGAAACATTCACATGGATAGTGATTTATTTCAGCATGAAGTCCTTTATGGGTCCTGGAAAAAAATGATCAGCAGGACTCGAAAGATCTAGCCCTCTACTATACAACTCAACACTGAACAAATGTACTGAAAAGCAGGAGTGGAGAAATCACTAGCATATTTTTATCCTCTAAAAGACAGACAAGCCTGTTATAGGCCCTTCTTCTGAGCACCTCGGAGTGTGCATTTCAAATATCTTGAGCTGATATGTAGGAAGGGGCAGGATATGTAGGAAGTCATCTTGTGAGCATCTGAAAATTGACTGGAATGTATGATTCAAGAGATGCCTTTTCACACTGCTCCTCCCAATTCTAAAGTCTCTGGCTGAAATTCCCCTCCCAACTTTGTGCTCTAATTCTCCTCTTCTATTCCAGCACATTTGATTATAATCACTCCCCAACTCTCTTCCAGACCTTAAACTTGTTCTAGGAATTGAAATAAAGGGTTTTTTTAATGCACAGTTCAGAAAAGCAGAGATAAATACATAAAATTGCAGTCTATCCTTCTCCTCTCCTAAATCTTATTTTAAAGCAACTGGACAAAAGCAAAAGGGCAATCCAAAGGAGTGAAAAACCATGCATATTTACTTAAAATTTACCCCACATTTAAGAAGAGCAGAATGTGGCATTTTTGAAGAACTCTAGAATTTCAGTCTTCAAATTTTTTTTTTTTTGTTAAGCATTATAGTTAATGCCTTCACTTCTTGCAAGATTTCCCATTAGTCTGTGAGGACCTGTCTTCCCCAAAAGTCTCAAGACAATTTTCCTTTAGGATGTTCCAATAGTAAAATTGAAATGAAGGATTGAAATGAAGTTGTTTTAAATTTGGGATACTTTTGAAAAGATTGAATTTTTCAAGCTTGAGACATTTTGCACTTCTATTGGTGGCCATCTTTGTCAAAAAATAGGATTAGGCTCACAAATCTTGCTAAGTCACAGTTTGTTTTAATTATAGCACCAACAAGTCACAGTGACTAGGTTTATAAACATGCTAATCCAAAACCAAATAAACCAAATATAACTTAGCACACTATGTCAGTTTAATCACAGAAAAAAGAACCACACATTAATTATGATATTTCTCATGT